AGGCTGGTCTCAAACTCCTGGGCTCAAGTGATTCTCCCACCATGGCTTCCCAAAGTGGTAGGATTACAGGCGTAAGCCACTGTGCCTGGCCACTACTGGTTAGTAATAGGAAAAAACAACTCACTTTCTCTGTCTTCAACTCAAGAATCACCTAGGTGAGAACCTCTACCCAGGCCACTTCCAGTCTGTCTCCCTGCTCCCTCTCATATCCCCACTAGGAGAAACTTCCTATTACTCACGTCCTGTAACCCTCCAGTTTTATGGGCTGCATGGGACCAGGTGCCCCTACGTTCCCCCAATAATAGTCTACTGACTTCCTCCCCACTCACCCATGGCAGGGCTAATGTCCCCCAAAAGTCAGACCTAGGGATGTCGCTCCCCATGGTTACTGTGCATGAGCTGGGGTGTCCCCCAAAAGTCAGACCTAGGGATGTCGCTCCCCATGGTTACTATGCATGAGCTGGGGCCACCAGTCTGTTCTAGACTTTAGGTCTCTTCTCTGGAAGCTCTGGCTCTTTCCTCCTCTCAGACCCTCTCTTCTGACTCTGTTTTCCCCATGCTTAGGTTGAACTGCCTTCTCCTTTCTGGCTACCTCAAGATGGGTCTGGGGTAGGCCCATATGGAAGCTCTGTGGGAACATGCTATACTCTCAGGCAGCACACATAGTGCCCTCTGCCTGGAGGCCACCTGCGCCCTGCACCCTCTGTAGAGCCCGGGTGGGGCTTAGAAGAAGGCCTTTCTTAGCTTTGCGCAGTGGCAGTATCGTAGCCAAAGAGGTTTATCTGAGGTGCGATTATTGCTAATCAAAAACTTTTCCCAATACCCTGCCATGACGACTTGAAATATAGTCAGCATTGGCAATTTTTGAAAATTATAAAAAAAAAGGCGGCCTTTCTTGTGGGAGAGAGGGTTCACAGAATGGCATCTGCTAATGCCTTTAACTGGGGAGGAAGACCTGAGAATCAGACGTCTGTGGGCCTCTATGAGCTCTAAAGGAGAGAGATGAGGATAATCCTGGTTCATGCTGCTTTCTGTGAGGCCAGACCTCTGGGGAGCCTTATGATGCTTTAGCAGAGGAGCTGGAGGGGCAGCAGCAGAGGTAGGAGCTGGAGGGGTTAGGGCAGGCAGTCAGGTCTGTGGTTCTAGCTATCTTACCTGGTGCTCCTGGAGAGCTGCCATCCCCCCACATCCCCCATGGGTGAATTCTCTGGCCAGACCCCAGGACTCCTGCTTATCACAAAGAGGTCAGGCTGAGGCTGAGGTCCTGGTCTTGGCAGTGCTGAGGAAAGCATTTGGGGCCTTTCTTCTATCTTTCCCATCTACCTTTCCTCTAACTCCTTTCTCTGTTGTCTGAGCTGGCTTTTCTCTTGAAATGAAACTCCTTGAGAATATGTGCTTTGAATTAAAATCCAAAAGGGAAAGCTTTAGGACTTTCTGAGGGAATTCCTTTCCCCATCTCCACATGGATGTGTTTAAATCTTGAGCTGATAATCGCCTTACACTAAAGGCTAAAGAAATTAAACAAGCCAAGCCTAAATGCAGCATTGAGTGAATCCTTTAAAGAGACCTCATGGGGATCTTAGCTGTCCCAGGCTGCCCACACGGTGAGTCCCATGACTGGGGGCTGCTGCCATCATTATGGGTCCCAGAGCTGTCCAGGGCCTCAGTCTCCACTTCCAGGAGTCATCCTGCCCTGCTTCATGGTGCTCCCCTCTCCTTCCTTCCTTGACCCTGGAACAGGTGGTCAGCCAGAGTCCCCAGCACACCTGACTGGGTCACTAGCCAGGGTATGATGCAGGTGGGAGAGCCCACCCAGGCATAACTAAGAGCCTCTACCCTCACCCCTGCTGGGTCCATGGAGCTATTTATTCATAGTAGCAGGACCTTTTTTTTTTTTTTTGAGACAGAATTTCATTGGCGTCCAGGCTGGAGTGCAATGGCGTGATATCGGCTCACCGAAATCTCCACCTACCGGGTTCAAGCGTTTCACCTGCCTCAGCTTCCAGAGTAGCTGGGATTACAGGCATGCTCCACTATGCCCGGCTATTTTGTATTTTTAGTAGAGATGGGGTTTCTCCATGTTGCTCAGGCTGGTCTCAAACTCCTGACCTCAGGTGATCTGCCCGCCTACGCCTCCCAGTGTTGGGGTAACAGGCATGAGCCACTGCACGCCTGGCCTAAGGCCCACCTCCTCTACTGACATATCCAGGTAAAAACTGGGAGACGGAACTAAAGTCTGGAGATACAGTGATTTCTAGTAAGAGACTGGATGGGTGGTGTCGGGATGGTCTGAGGTCAGAAGCCACAAGATCCACCTCCACTGTGGCAACCCTGTCTGTACATGTGTTTGGGATGGAGGACGAGCATGTCAGTACTTAAGAGGTTGCCAGAGCCTAAGGAAATGGAGTCTTGGACAACCTTGCCCTTCACACATTCCCTAGACAATCAGAGGGAGGACTGGGCTGCAGTGGGAAAGGACAGCCCATGGAAGAGAGGGGTCCCTTCTCCTTCCCAGGCCTGCTCCACTTAGTGTTTATCTGGGTGCTGCTCACCTCTTGCTGGGTGATATTAGCTGAAATTGCCTGACAAGGCACCAGGGAGCCTGGAGGATAGGAAGAAAGTACTGCCGTTGAGGACTTACAAGGACTGAGGGCCATGGTGAGTAGCTGGGACCTTATCCCTCTCACCAGTATTATGTAAATCACGTCGTCCTATGCTGCTTAAAATCCTTGTCTCTCCACTGATGAAGCATAAAGTCCAAGCTCTTAGCAGTGGCTTCAACCTACATCTTGTCAGTTGTAGTCTTCCATCCTACCTCAGATGTTCTTTTAGCAGTCTACCTTTACACTTGGTTCCCTCTGCGTGGTATATTCTTGTCTCTAAACTTTCCCTTATAAGATCCAGCTCATCAGCCTCTTTCCTGCGCTCCCAATGTCACCCTTAACAAAGGATACCTTCTGTTGGTATGGCAAGCCCTCAGCACATGGCAGCTGAATGAAAGGCTGACCCAGAGACCAGGTTTACTCACCCTGTCCCACACTACATGTGACTCAAGATGATAAGGACAGGGGCCTCAGGAGATCCTGCGAACTGCAGTGAGCAGGTGGGGCTGGAAGACCCTTGGCCGCTAGGAGAGTTCCCTGTGCCCCGCTGGGAGCTGGGGATGAATTCTTGCATGAGGCAGGAGACACAGAGGCAGAAAGGAAGCCTAGGCTGTGACAGTACCTCCTTTATAGAGAACTCTTGAGCCTCAGTCTCCTCTGGGGAGGGAGACCAGCATTTTGTACTTATTGAGGTCTCAGGGAGAGGAAAGTCCTTGTGCTTTAGCATTGGAAACGATAGAGGGAACAAAACTGGGCGTTCAGTTGAGGTCACTGTAGCCCTCTGCCAGACCCCCACTGCCCTTCTCCCTTGGGACTTTCAGATACCCACATCACAGAGTCAGGCTTCAAGTTGAGATTGTCCTGACAACATTTCTACAACCTCCTAGCAGTTTAGGGTGAAAGGCAGCCCAGTGACAACTAGCCTGGCACTACCAGGTCCTTTTCTCTTTAAGCAACACAGGAATTATGTGCCAGGGTCCAAGGGCCCAGAATGTTGCCCAAGATGATCTTGCTTTTTTCGTGGGCATGCTATTATTTCTGCAGGGCTCAGAGGAAGTCAAATTCTTCACTTTCTGCTGAAGCCACAGTCTCTCCAGAATTTTAACACAAGCAGGAAGACAGAGACTCTCTCAACCATCCAAGGGGTATATAAAGACATCATTAAAGTGGCAAAGCACAGTGGCTCACACCTGTAATCCCAGCACTTTGGGAGGCCGAGGCGGGTGGATCATGAGGTTGAGAGATGGCGACCATCCTGGCCAACATGGTGAAACCCAGTCTCTACTAAAAACTCAAAAATTAGCTAAGTGTGCTGGCATGTGCCTGTAGTACCAGCTAATTGGGAGGCTGAGGGAGGAGAATTGCTTGAACCTGGGAGGCAGAGGTTGCAGTGAGCCAAGATCATGCCATTATACTCCAGCCTGGCAACAAAGCAAGACTCCGTCTCAAAAAAGACATCATTAAAGTAGCCACAGCATTTTGAGGCGCTCCAAATAAAGAGAGGACTGGGTGGATTTGAGCAAACAATTTGTTACAATGAACCAGAAATACAAGATTCCACTGAAACTGCAACAGTTGACAACTGGTTGAACTTAAACTTTCAGGGGAAGTACGGGTAAAATAAAGCTAATGAGTGGAAAAGTCCGAGACTGGTTTGGGATAAACATGAGGATAATTACATTTTAGCATGGATATTTTCTGACCTCTGCCAGCACTTCATCCACCATCATTCTCCATTCTGACACACCTGCCAAATTAAATGGCTTCTTCCTCTATATTGTAGGTATAAACCAACCCTATAGTACCCTTCTGGACATGATACGAAGCCAAGAGAAAGTGTGTAAATCTCACACAAGGGTAGAAATCTAGTATGATTCAACCCAGCATGCTGGTTATATGTGGTGTCAATGTACATGGTAGCAACTTTGATCAAATCAGAGCTGCTACCACATGTAAGCAACCTCTTATGCTGCCCTGCAGTGATGTCAATGTTCTCAATTTACTAAATTGTCAATGTGGAAGAATGCACTTTTGAGCTCCAGACTTTTAAAGAGGCTATTGAAGAGGATGTAACAGAACCCTACCTCAGAAATCTAAGCATCAGGGAGGAACACTTTTTTTTCTGGGACCTTTCTGTGGTGGCAACAGAGATCAACAAAAGTAATATTAGCATGTCAGAGCATTAAGTGAGGGAAGGCAGAGGTAGGAAAAGGGTGTTCTAGCCACAAGGCTAATGCATTTGTGTTCAAAGAGAAGTCTGGGTAAAGGAGGGGAAAATACCCCACCCCTAAAAAAAAAAAAAATCTGGGTAAAGGAGGGGAAAA